TTTACAGAAAAAAACATCAAAAATCATATTCTTCTTTTCAATATTTTATACTTCTTTCAGCTTAGGAAACAACATAAAAAATAACACCACGCTTTTTATGGGCAAATTTATTCCTAAAGCTCCTCCCACCCACTCAAAAGAGCGAAGTTACACCATTACACAGGCTTAAGGAAATGTGTTAGGCATTAGCTGAAAGAAGAACACAAAAGAACAAGAGAAAAACGAAAGAAGATTTCCATGTCTTTCTGTGTAAACTCTGAAGAGAAAAGAAATAAAGTTTTATCGTTTATGCTTATTCTATTCGTATGTACCATGCATTCAATTTTGTTTTCTCATGAGACCTAAAAGACCAGGAAAACGGAAATTCTTTTGAATATTGTTTTGTTTATGCTCATGTTGATTCTAATCCTTCATTTATTCTGTCTTGTTTCACAATTAATAATCACTTTTGCTTGTGCTGTAAGACTAGTATGACCAAAGACAGCACCAAAAGCACCTTCTCGTTGTGTAACTTTGCCATTGGAAGTTGAAAAGAAGAAAATCATTTTTCTATGACAGCCACAGGCTAAGTAACTCAATTTTAAAACAAATAATTTAAAAGTGTACACGGTTAAGAATCACTGACGATAATAAGAAAAGATGGCAATGAAGTGAACGCAAGAGCCAGGGTGTCACAATAATTTATGATGCTGAACATACTAAATTATTTGATCAGAAACCATGTTAAAGTACTAAGAAGTAACCAAAGTGATTAGTGATTTATTAACGAACATAATAAGTTCATGGTGCGATGATTTCCGATACTGAAAAAATCAATTCATTTCTCTCGTATTCTATATTTCTAGACAACAAAGTTGACTTCAAGATGTTGCTAACGGAAGAAACAGATCATCCTTCGACCCAAAAACATCCTTCTTCATTGTCCATATCAATAATTCGACCGACCAACAGAGAGCTAGCTTATGTTTGATTATTGCCTAGTTCTGACACGTGCTTGATTTGGTAATAACTGGGGGATTTGGTAGTAAAGAGATGTGCTGTACTTGTGCAACAACTGACTGGCGCTTCTATATACCATGGAGTAATTTTGTAGATGTTAGCACAAATCAGTTAACATGCTTTAGAGCATGTTAATATAAGAGTGCTTCTTGCGCTCATATCTTGTGTAAAATTAAAACAAAATCTAATTTACATTAAATCAATCATCATGGTTGAAAGAGAAATTGCAATACGCTGGCAGAGTATTGCAAAATCTTTAAACTCAACATCTATGCGAAATGATTATCACGAGGCAGTCAGACTAGCCGTCTACTTTGAATATTTAATGGTTTATTTGTGCCTATGATTGCACTGTTATAATATTGAGGGATGTTATAACAGTGTCTACAAAACAATAAAAATTTAACTTCCGGTGATGTTCTAATGTTTGGTAAATGATTTAGCCAAAATAGCTATTTTGTATGATTGTATAGAACTATTGCAATCATAAAGATAATTCCTCGGGAGAGGAAACTGTTTCAAATTTTCGAATCCAACTTGAGGGCTCGTCATGAATGCTCGTCTGTCCATTATGTTCAATGGAGATGATTGACTTCGTTTGAAAAATCTGACAGTAACTTTTGTGCCATAAAAGTAAACCTTTCCTGTAAATGTTTGCAGTTTACAGCTGTTTTCTGGAAATCATCGTAAAGTACCAGTTTTGATAGAAATTTCGACAGATCGTCTGCAAACACTGGTTTTTGAAAATTTATATGCTCCTACAGTTCGTCATGATTGTATTTTAACATTATTCTTACAGTTATTCATGGCACTGAACGATGAAGATTGAGACTGCGGTATGTGTTTGTTTGTCAGTTGTTTGCTTGTTTGCTTCATCATACTGCAACTTTTTCCTCAGTATTTTTCAGATGCAGAGGTCGATAAGATCAAGAATAGCAGAACAGAGATGTAAGCATGTATTTGTTTGTATCGTTCATCAAATCTTCTTTGCTTCAATTTCTTTCAGAACCACATTGCCGTAACCTGTCATTGTCAAGCAACGCTTCTTGCAGTAAGTTAAACCAATATTTATTACTTATTTTTGGAAGATATTAAAATTTAAAGAAGGCATGTTTCGAGAAGACAAAATTTTCGACTTCCATTCTTCGGTGTTTGCAGATGATCATAAACATGCACAAAAACACAAAACATGCACATAAAAGATTTTTACAATATTCTAACTAAACTAGAGAGTTCCCTCGCTCTCTAATTTAGTGAAGAATTTCAAAAAGAAATTCAAGTATTCCAAAGAGACTTCTGCCACCTATTTTGAAATAACTTGCACAAAATTTCAAGCAGCGTACACTTGATATTCTCATAGAAATTTTTTGTAATTAAAATAAGATCATACGTATGTAATATAAAATTTGACTAAATCAAAACAATTTTTCAAATGATAGCCAAGTATTCGAAACTTCGATGTAAACTAATAGAATTTGTATGAATACAATTAATAAGAACTTACTGTTTGTTCATTCTTGGAGGAAGATTGGGTGGTTGGAAATGGCATTAATTTTTTGGGAAACGGATGTTTTATATGGACCGTTTACATTCTATATAATAAGTCGTTCATGTTTTGATTGACGTTGTCAGTCAGTGAATTGTAAGTCAAGATGTATCAACTATGAAATACAACCGGAAATCCTTATATATATGTGTCTCTATGTATTGTGTTCAAGAGTAAAACAATCTTCCTTATTATATTACATTTACCATTCACTATGGTATTTGCTATCTTTAGAACTATGTATTATTTCTTTCTCTACAATGTTGTCGCTTTTACAGGGAGTAAAAGCACGAAAATATTTATATGACATGAACAAACTTGCTTGATGACAACTTTGCTCAGTCAAATACTTATTATCTATCAATTACGTATTTACAGAAGTCTTGATTTGAACTACATTTATGCGTTTATTTGCTAAACCTAGTCTTCCCCAATGTTGTTTTCTTCTTATTTCAGACATCCTAATGTAATTATATTGACAACATCGAACATAACTAGAGCCATAGACGTTGCGTTCGTGGACAGGTTGAAAAATATGTTTGTGACTCGAAAGTTTTTTAATTCACTTTCTCATCTAACTTCGCTATTTGTTCGCCCACAGAGCCGACATCAAACAGTATATTGGTCCGCCATCAGCCAAAGCTATTTACAAAATTTACCATTTGTTTGTATGTAACTTATGTCTTCTTGTGCACGTGATCAACGAAATGGCTGCCGGTCAATTATGTTTTCTGGCCAAAGGAACGCCGAAATGGCTTACCGCAACCTGTCATCATATACAATATAAAACAACAATTTGCCTCGTGAAGTATATCCCCTCTTCTCAGTACTTTGTACCTTTACGTCTACTGCTTTATTTCCATACCACAATATAGTCGTTTGTGCAAGTTATACAAACATCTTGCTTAAATAGAGAGGTGTGCAGCTATATAGAAATTGATTGCAAACGATTGCATTGTAGATAATTTTTTAATAATCAAAATTAATGTTCACCGTTTCATCACAGACCAGTATCATATCACCAGCCACTCAAATTTTGGATTTAAGGTACAACTGAAAAATACACGAAATTTTATTTTGACGAAAATTGACGGTGTTTGTTAGAAATTTTTGTTCACTTCTATGTTGATGACATGGTTTTCTTTTCGATGTACAACTTTTTCCCTATTTTCCATTGTAGCTTTGTCGACAACGATGTAACACACTGTAGTCTTGAATTAAAGAAGATAGCCGAGTAAGTAGATGTTTGTAGATGTAGATCGTCGAGGTTAGTGGTGTCCTGCGAAGGACTGTTGATGTTGATGTTGACTGACTTCTTAACAACCTTAGCGGTAGTCATCTTTAGAGTCAGCATCAACAACAACAGTTCTTTTCAGGACTTTACTAACCTGGACGATCTACATCTAAACATGTAACGATACTCCCATGTTCAAACCTTTCACTTTAAAGTAAAGTGATGTCACAGAGTAAAATAAACATTTCTTGTCTTAGTTTATGGTAAATATTATGTCACCCAGTCTTCATGTTTTCAAGTTAGTATTCTTCTCGTTTTACAAAGAAAACGAAACTACGCCCGGGGGATTTTCAGAAGTTGTCTGAACCCTGGCAGTATGTTCTAGTTTCTTTTATGAGAAGAATTCTTGTAAAGAAAAAAGACAAATTTTGAAAGGAAAAACCCGTTTTCGGTCCATGCTTCCCGATACCTTCTTAAGCGTAAGGCACTAAAACGCGGCATGTTAACGTTTCGGTAGCAGATTTCGGCCCTCCACGCTATCCTACTTGGGAGATGCAATAGCAAGCTTCCGCCCATCAGACCCCGAGATCACCTGCGATAGGCTTTGCTCGGGGTACGCAGGAGAGTGCGGTCGCCACCGAAGTGTGGACCCTAAGCCACTGCATACTATATCGCACCCAGCTTCCACTGCTAGTTGACATCTACTATATGAAGCTATAGATTTATATTTATATATACAAAATTTAGAGGCTTACGAAATTTGTGGTATTATTAAAGTCACAACTGCGCATGCCCAGATAATTTCTTTGATAATTTGCGATTAAGTGGGATAATTGCCCCAGATGTAGTGCAAGTACATCTAGTTAGTCGTTGCCATGACTATAAACAATTAGTCGAGTGGGCTGCGCATGCTCGAGCGCATGCGCAGATGATTTCTCCATTAAATTGTTACTAAACATGCTATTTACTTCAAAATCGGGGCTAGTAGATGCAATTGGTCGTTGCCATGACCATGAACATTGGCAGCCAATCAATTTAACTGCGCATGCTCAGTTGAGATCTTTAATAGTTTGTTAATAAGCAAGTTATATACTCCTAATTGATGCTAGTAAATGTAGTTGGTCGTTTCCATGACTATCAACTCGGACAATTGGTCAAGTGGACTTTGCATGCTTGAGCGTGCTGCGCATGCCAAGCGTACTGCGCATGCTCAGATGATCTTCTTATATTTTTGTGACCAAGCGATTAATTACTCAGTAAGTGATGAAAATAGGTCCAGCTTGTTGTTGCCATCACTATGAATATGAAAAATTTGTTAAATGACTAAATTCCTCATTATAATTGAAATTTATGATTTCCCAATATGTGACCAAGTGAACCACAGAAGGATGCAAGCTTGTTCTGTTTGTCATTGCCATGATTGTAAACTCGAACAGTTTGTTGAGTTGTTTGTGCATGTTCAGATGAGTTCTCAAATAATTTAGGACTGAGGTTTAAAATATACCGTCTTAATACTTGCAACATAAATAAAATTTAACTTTGTATTACATCTACATTTAAGGCGTAAAGATGTTTTTTCTTTGTTATCGTAGTCAGTAGTTATCAAGTAATGGACCACTCTCAAATAATCACGAATATTGGTTGACTTTTGGTTAGGTTTCTTTGGGAGGCCCTTCTCCTTTGAACTTGCAAGGAGCAGTCAAGCGTCTCACTGTGATAAACCTACGAAGTATTCTTTCTCTCATTTTCTTGTTTAGAAAAGTTATCAACTAAGTGGTCGAACTCTTCGTAAACTACCATTCCTTGCACATGCGCTGTATTCGAAAGTAAGTAATACGAATTAAAGCCTTCACCCGTGTTCTTTGTTGTACATGCATGTACTTATATTGTCCCTCAAACCTACGTAATAGGCGCAAACGATAACCTTAGAAGAGTTTTTGAATAATCTTTCAATGGTTGTCGACAAGCAGTTCAAAGAAAAGAGAATCTTTGCTCAGTTGGTGAAGAAAAAGCGTGCAAACGTGATCTTTTAGCGATTGTATACTTTTATACATTCATAGTAATATTTTGGATATGTTTTGTTGAAGATTAAGATTTTTGTATTGCTCAATTTAAGTTCAATAAGTAACATAGATCACAAAGTTTGCTAATTTATATTGATGCTTTAAGACTCCTTACATGACGTTTCCGCAACACACCCGAGGTCAAAGTTCGTATATATTAAAATGCAACAATGTGTATAGTTCGTTATTGAGGATAATGTATAGATTATTTTACATAGGGAAAGATATTTATACGCTATAGTTAATTGTAACTGTTTAATTTCAACTTATGTTTACATTAAATGACATCCTTAAGCCAACTTTACTAATATTGATCGCTATTTTCGTGTTATACATCCATAATCATCTTGTTGTTAAAGATTTGAAGCTTTGCTGCGATAATACAGGTTTGTACAGCTATCTCATCTTTGTTTGTTGCCTGACTGATAGCATGTCGACTCCGTGGACCAGATTTTTTATCGTGATTTATATGACATTATAGATTGTCGTACGTCTATCTAATATCTTGAGTATAAACGATATGTTTTTGAAAGATGAGTTTACATATACTCTAGCCTAGTGTCTTCATCAGGAGTGATCTGATGTTGAAACTTGAGTCTTTATATACTCCAGTCTAGTGTCTTCATCAGGAGTGATCTGATGTTGAATCTTGAGTCCTTATATACTCCAGTCTTATGTTTTCATCAGGAGTGATCTGATGTTGAATCTTGAGTCCTTATATACTCCAGTCTAGTGTCTTCATCAGGAGTGATCTGATGTTGAAACTTGAGTCCTTATATACTCCAGTCTAGTGTCTTCATCAGGAGTGATCTGATGTTGAAACTTGAGTCCTTATATACTCCAGTCTTATGTTTTCATCAGGAGTGATCTGATGTTGAATCTTGAGTCATTATATACTCCAGTCTAGTGTTTTCATCAGGGTGATCTGATGTTGAATCTTGAGTCCTTATATACTCCAGACTAATGTCTTCATCTGGGTGATCTGATGTTGAATCTTGAGTCCTTATATACTCCAGTCTAGTGTCTTCATCAGGAGTGATCTGATGTTGAATCTTGAGTCCTTATATACTCCAGTCTTATGTTTTCATCAAGAGTGATCTTTTATTGAAACTTTCGCTAGTGTTATTTAACCATGTTATCTAAAAACTTTATCCTACATAGTCCATTTTGTATTTGTGTTTCCACTTGTTTTCTTTAATGTTTTAAAATAATGTTCTTGACAGCAGAGAATTATTCTCATTATGATTTGGTCGTTGGAATACTTTCATCGCGCGGCAACTTTGATTTGAGGCAAAGTTTACGTGAATCATGGGTTGGCTATGCAAGACGACATTCATCTCTAAATAAAAGGTAAACACAGGAAAACACTGAATTTCTTGAGGGTAGCTGTAGTGTTTTTGTATTCAATTAGAGCTACTTAGCGTGTGAAACGTTACAGCAAACACAATATTTGTGAAGGTAAAGTGTAGAACAGTGTTTCAAATTGGCCTGTCGCGTTTACAACGAATTTCTTTAATACCAGAGAACGTTTACAACGTATTTCTTCAATACCAGAGAACGTTTACAACGTATTTCTTCAATACCAGAGAACGTTTACAAGTATTTCTTCAATACAGAGAACGTTTACAAAGTATTTCTTCAATACCAGAGAACGTTTACAACGTATTTCTTCAATACCAGAGAACGTTTACAAGTATTTCTTCAATACCAGAGAACGTTTACAACGTATTTCTTCAATACCAGAGAACGTTTACAACGTATGTCTTCAATATCAGAGAACGTTTACAACGTATTTATTCAATACCAGAGAACGTTTACAAAGTATGTCTTCAATACCAGAGAACGTTTACAACGTATTTCTTCAATACCAGAGAACGTTTACAACGTATTTCTTCAATACCAGAGAACGTTTACAACGTATGTCTTCAATACCAGAGAACGTTTACAACGTATTTCTTCAATACCAGAGAACGTTTACAACGTATTTCTTCAATACCAGAGAACGTTTACAACGTATTTCTTCAATACCAGAGAACGTTTACAACGTATTTCTTCAATACCAGAGAACGTTTACAACGTATTTCTTCAATACCAGAGAACGTTTACAACGTATTTCTTCAATACCAGAGAACGTTTACAACGTATTTCTTCAATACCAGAGAACGTTTACAACGTATTTCTTCAATACCAGAGAACGTTTACAACGTATTTCTTCAATACCAGAGAACGTTTACAACGTATTTCTTCAATACCAGAGAACGTTTACAACGTATTTCTTCAATACCAGAGAACGTTTACAACGTATTTCTTCAATACCAGAGAACGTTTACAACGTATTTCTTCAATACCAGAGAACGTTTACAACGTATTTCTTCAATACCAGAGAACGTTTACAACGTATTTCTTCAATACCAGAGAACGTTTACAACGTATTTCTTCAATACCAGAGAACGTTTACAACGTATTTCTTCAATACCAGAGAACGTTTACAACGTATTTCTTCAATACCAGAGAACGTTTACAACGTATTTCTTCAATACCAGAGAACGTTTACAACGTATTTCTTCAATACCAGAGAACGTTTACAACGTATTTCTTCAATACCAGAGAACGTTTACAACGTATTTCTTCAATACCAGAGAACGTTTACAACGTATTTCTTCAATACCAGAGAACGTTTACAACGTATTTCTTCAATACCAGAGAACGTTTACAACGTATTTCTTCAATACCAGAGAACGTTTACAACGTATGTCTTCAATACCAGTGAAATGTTTGGTAAACTAATCTGATTACCGATATGAGTAACGTTTTAGCAATTGTCAGATCTACGTAGAATCGAATTGGACATTTTTAGCTGACCGCCATTCTTTAAGTAGTGTAGCGTTTTGCGTTTCTATGATGGCCTATTGAATATACCAACAGCAAGGTCTTTAGTTTCGTTTATCAGTTTTGTTCTACACAAGAACAACTCATGCAAACTGCATTCTTTGTCATATGATAAATTTAACTGTGTTGACTAACGTCATTGTATTGAGGCTAAACTCGAATATTCACAAGAAATAACGGTTCACGGTACACTTGCCTAAAATATCCCTTTCTTTGCTGTGGTTTTTGGCCAGAGTTCCCAACAACCGTTTCTGTCGCAAAAAATTGTACCAGTGATATAACTAAGTACAATGACTAAATCTGAAAAATAAAGTGTTGGTTACTATTCCATTGTTGTTTTAGAGTGTTGGTGAAGTTCATCGTTTCAAATAATGCATGTTACGTTCCTCCAGAGTTCAGGATTGATCCTTACAAATGCGAAAGAAAGAAAATCGAATCTCAAGTTTGAAAATTTACTTTTGATTTGATAGTTGTGAGGTTTGGCGCCTGGAAAAGCCGATATAAAACAATATGACGTTGGAATCTCGATGCAGGCGATAAACTAACGAGGCACATATTTACAAACGTCGAACATAACCTACTATACATGTGATATTTAAAGTTAATCAGTTGCGGATTACTCATTACGAAAAGTAAACCAAGACATTGTTAGTTTTTACTTTTTGCTGCTTGGAACTTGCTAAAAGTGCCGTTTTTAGACCATTTATGATGTTGAAAACCGTACGTGCGATTGAATATCGACGAAAAAGACTTTCGTACCATCTAGTGTTTAAATGCGCGAGGCTAAGAACTGACGAGGATTTCCCTATTTCTGCAGACTGTTTTGATAATTTTTAAAGTTTATTTTGAACTATTAATTTCTTTTGTATCGTTCACACTATGTGTTACAAACGCAAGCTAGGAAATGCAAAGGCAAAGGAACGTAAAGAACGCAAACGTTGTCAAGAGACTGAGCTTAGTGGAGGGATTAAATATCACCAGGCCTCGTAATTTTGCCTTAGCCTACATGCTCCGTAATTATTAATCAGCCACTGCTGCGAATTTATCATTGCTGTATGTATTTGTAGCGAAGATCAGACAGTCTTGATGGAAATATGTGTTGCTATCTCTCATGGAGATTTTACCGTCATAGAGGCTGGAACGAGTGCATGATCAAACGTGTTTATATGTTTGTCATATTGATGTTTAGACTACGAAAATGAAGTAATTGCTTACAAACGACCAAATGAAGAAAATTTGAGATATTTTCACAGTGGATCTATCGGATGGGACTTTGATGTGAGTATTAGTTAGTTATTTGTAGCCATTAAGAACTGCTCAACGGACACTGTTGCATTGAACTTTGGGACCTTCTGAACAAAGTCTGAAACCTGTTGCATAAAGTGTCTGTTTGGCTTCAGGAGTAAAATTTGGGTTGGCAATACAATACAATTATTTTTATACAGATCATCCGTCCCATTATTTTGACTCGTCTTGGCATCTCTTTATCATCGTTGAATTCAAAAAGAAACTCTTCTGTTCGACTCTACGACAGAACAACTAAGGTTAAACCATGCAGTTTATAAATACCGTTTACAAGTTATTTGATCTAAATTGTTTTATCTCGTTTCAGAGCGAAATTATATCTGTTTATTTCTCTTTCCAAGACCCTGGTACAACAGAAAACGGTTCGTCGTTTAAAGCAATTGAAAACTTTATTTTGCCAAAGGTGAGTAACAAGTCGATAATTTATCAAAATATTCAAGTGAATTGTTTGAGCTCGGGTATCGTTATCATGTTTGTACAGGTTAGTAGAGTGCTGAGAAGGGCTGTTGGTGTTGATGTTGACTGATGTTTCGACAACCTTAGTGGTTGTCATCTTCAAAGTCGAGTGAGGAGTAAACGTCTGCAAGCAGATAACAAATATGGCAAACCTGACGTTTACTCCTCACTTGACTCTGAAGATAACTACCACTAAAGTTGTCGAAACGTCAGTCAACATCAACACCAACAGTCCTTCTCAGGACTCTACTGACCTGGACGATCTACATGCACAAACATGTAAGATATTGAAGCTTAGTCACAAAGTTAATTATGACTTTGAACTTTTCTATAGAGTTTGAACATTTGGTACGTTTCAAATGCCATTATAGGACTTCAAGGGCAGCGTCGTGTCTGAAAACGTAAAATGTTCAAGTTCTCGATGCAGAAAATGCGAGTATTTTGCCAACATTGAAAACGGAAGGATTATTTCAATGTACACAAGGTATAAAACCATAAAGAAGTTTTATGTCATAGCCAATCGGAGGTGAATGTTATGATTTAGAGCAAGTGAAGCGATTTTCTCCGAAAGAATTACTATCCAGTAATAAATGTTTTTCTTCGGTGCCCTCTTATCGATATTTGGACTAAATTATTGACATTTTACGATATTGCTAAATACAAGTTTTTCAATGGATATTTATTGTTTATTTTACAACAGATTCTTGAGCACGAGGCTTTATTTCGCTTTTGATGTAGCAAATTCATGTGTATTAATAAACAATTGGTTACTTAATCGATGTTGCAAGCATTACTAATCTACTAGAACGTATATAAAGGGTTTTCCAATTCAATGTTAAATAATTTTATATTTTGTTGGCTACAGTTACAAATCTATGGTGAATACTAACCCAAACCTACTCTTTTTTCCTAGATAAGACGGATTAACAACGAGTTCGCCGTCTTTCCCGAAGTCGAGGAATCAATTCCTGATGCTAGATGCGTGGATGGGGCTGGAACGTTCATGTATCGACTTTACAGTAGGTGTTTTTATGCTACATTACGTACGTACTGACTTCTTCGTTTTCGCGGTTAACAACGAGAAATTTGATGCAACAGTTGCTCTTAACTGGATTTTTTTCTGCGCACATTGAAAAAGAAACAAAATATCCTCAGCAGTAAAGTGGATTTGTTGCTAGCATTTGTTTGGGAGTAAGCCTCTTCTCAATTTTAGTTTAATTTTAATGAAGAATGCCTCTCCTGTTGTAGCCCACGCATTGCCCCAAAGTAATTTTTTTTAACTTTTGCAATATCCTTGAATGTTCTAGTTTCTTTTTATACAAAAAAAAAGATTAAATTCAAAAGCAAAAAACCCCGTTTTCGGTCCATGCTTCCCGATACCTGCTTAAGCCGAGGCACTAGAACGCCGCATGTTAACGTTTCGGTAGGAGATTTCGGCCCTCCACGCTATCCTACTTGGGAGATGCAATAGCAAGCTTCCGCCCATCAGACCGAGATCACCTGCGATAGGCTTTGCTCGGGGTACGCAGGGAGAGTGCGGTCGCGACCGAAACGTCTGGACCCTAAGCCACTGCATACATATCGCACCCAGCTTCCACTGCTAGTTGACATCTACTATACCTAATATTGGCTTTATATATATATACAAAATTCAGAGGCTTACGAAAGTTGCGGTATTATTAAAGTCACTACTGCGCATGCCCAGATGATTTCTTTGATAATTTGCGACTAAGTGAGCTAATTGCCACAAATATAGTGCAAGTACATATAGTTAGTCGTTGCCATGACTATAAACAATTGGTCGAATGTACTGCGCATGCTCCTGCGCATGCGCAGATGATTTATCCATTTAATTGTTACTAAGCATGCTATTTACTTCAAATTCGGTGCTTGTAGATGCAGCTGGTCGTTGCCATAACTATGAAGTCAAAAACTGTCAAGTGAACTGCGCATGCTCAGTTGATATCTTTAATAATTTGCTAGTAAGCAAGTTATCTACTCCTAATTGATTCTAATAAATGCAGTTGGTCATTTCCATGATCGTTTACTCAGACAATTGGTCAAATAGACTTTGCTTGTACTGCGCATTTCCAAGCGTACTGCGCATGCTCAGATGATTTTGCGTACATTTATGTGACCAAACGATTTAATCACTCAGAAAGCGATGAAAATAGATCCAGCTTGTCGTTACCATGACTATGAAATTGAAAAATTTGTCAAATGGACTGTGCAGACTCATATGAAGTTTAAAGCCTAGTGCCAAACACTAATATTCCCTCACCAAATATTAAAAGAAAAGATGGTACAATGCTTTATGAATAAATTTCTTTAAAGTCTGTAGCAACTTGCAATCCTCCGTAGATTCTCCGGGGAAGAGAGTCGTGACAAAAGAGGAAGAAGAAACTCGAATGTCGGAGTGGCAGCGATTGAAAGACGATGAGAATGAACGTTTACTTAAAGAAAGCAGAACTATTTCTGATATTCTTTTTGTTTCAAATGTCGATGTTTACAGAAATCTTCCATCCCAGTTGCTTCAGTTTTTCTCGTGGTAAGAGAGTGTCTGAGACTTTTTATATTTTTTCATGCCACTGTGAAATTTCTGGCGATAAGTGGACAGTCTCAAATCAACTTTAAACATTATTTTTGCCCAAATAACTTGCATTAGTGTATAATTCATCTCGCCAGTATCTCCTTACCTACGACATCAGTCGTCATATGTCATATTGATCTTGCTTCATGTCGGCTTTTCTTTTTAAATAGGCTCTCGGCGACTTTAAGTTTTTCCTTTGTAATGAAAACTGACGATGATTGTTTTGTTAACCTGGAGACCATCTTACAGGTTTGAAAGCTCTTCAATAAATAATAGAAAATACGTGTTGGTATCTTGGGAGTTGGGAGTACGTAGAGGTAACTTGGGAGTTGGGAGTACGTAGAGGTAACTTGGGAGTTGGGAGTACGTAGAGGTAACTTGGGAGTTGGGAGTACGTAGAGGTAACTTGGGAGTTGGGAGTACGTAGAGGTAACTTGGGAGTTGGGAGTACGTAGAGAACTTGGGAGTTGGGAGTACGTAGAGGTAACTTGGGAGTTGGGAGTACGTAGAGGTAACTTGGGAGTTGGGAGTATGTAGAGGTATCTTGGGATTTTGGAGTACGTAGATGTATCTTGGGATTTTGGAGTATATCAATCTGGTGGCTTAAGCGTGGTTTTTAAAATGGTTTAGATGTGGTTTTAGAGGGTTTAAGGGTAGTTTAAGGGTGGTTTAACCGTAGTCTAGGGTAGAAGCGTAACTTAAAGCTTGGACCACCTTTAAACCACGCTGAAGCTACCTTAAAACTCCTTAAAACATTTTACGCTACCCTTAAAACATCCTTACTCTACCCTTAAACCACCCTTAAAACACCCTTACGCCACTCTTAAACCATGCTGTGGAGATGATTTTACACACCATCCCAGACCTCTCATTGAGAGCTTTGGAATGAGCCTCGTCCCGAGTCTCTACAATAAAAGCACGAGGAAATAGAAATTGCGCATGCTCAGTATAGAGTCGATTTCAACATTAATTACCTCCGGAAGTATACAAGCTGCACAGATGATTTTTGACTCAATCTAAAGATTTTACTCAATCAAGCGATTTGTAAGGGTGTCTTTAATTAAGCTTTATATCTTTAATAGTGTACCGAAGAACTTCACGACTGAAGAAATATTTGATATTTTTAGGAAATGGAAAGTCATAATTTAAAAAACACGTCTAAATTGTGGTGGGGAAGGTTAGTTTAGCTCAACTCCGTCAGTACACAATATTCTGTGTACGTGTTTGTAGATGTAGATCGTCCAGGTTAGTAGAGTTCTGAGAAGGACTGTTGGTGTTGATGTTGACTGAAGTTTCGACAACCTTAGCGGTAGTCATCTTCAGAGTCAAAAATACTACTGCTAAGATTGTCGAAATGTTAGTCAACACCAACAGCAACAACACTTCTCAGGACTCTACTAACTTGGACGATGTACATCTACAAACATGTAACGATACTCCCGGGTTCAAACCATCTACTTTATACTGAGTCCATTCTAAAGATTTTATTGACATAGTGAAAATCCTTTTGAGATATCATGTTTTGGGCATTAGGAATTGCCAAATTTATAATATTTTTCAAGTAAAACAGAAACGAGATTGCAAACATACGAATTAGCGTTTTCCATGCGACTAAACTATAAATAAGGTATGAGAATATGAGTTGTAGTTATTGCTTCTAAATGCAATTGCTTCTTCATATTTACAGCTTTCGTACTGATTGGTTGATCGAGACAGGGAAAATGGGCCGAGCCTGATTATCCGGGAGTGGCTTATCCGACATTTGCCTGCGGTGCGGGCAGCATTATATCTTCGGATATTGTTCACTGGCTGGCAAAAAACGAGAAATCTCTAAAACGTTATCAGGTATATGATAGAAAAACCACGACGAGATTACAATGTTGAAAGTGACCTCTTGATGTGTAAAGATGTAGTTCTCAGAGTACTAGATATTGACACATGTTTTTTCTTTCTTGTGTAAAGGGGGAGGATGTCTCTATGGGTATTTGGTTATCAGCTATTGCTCCTGAAATTTATAAGGTAAGATCTCCTTTTCTTCTCTGCAAGTTTGTGACGGTTGTTCAACAAGATCCTTTATGGTGATCTTACTCTTACGAGCCCAGGTTCTTATGAACCAGCGGCCGAACATGTGACAGTGTTTCCTTTCTATTTCAAATACTTCAGGATGAGCGATGGTCGTGTTTCGGGGATTGTCAGATGGAAATGTTTACCTTGCCCGAGCAGGATGCCGATTCTCTTCTCTATTTATGGGAAAACTTTATGTCCTGCGGTAATCCTTGCAAATGTTGAGGTACGTTAGTTATGTCGGGGGGGGGGGAAGAGGGAGATAAGAAAAATTCCAAATCCACACAAAAAGATAGAAAAGTACAGCTTCAATTAAACTTTTTATCTTTTTTTTTCACTTAATTAAATCTATTTTCTCTATATTACAAATTTAATGTTTTGGCTTTTTACGAACGACATTAATTTAAATTAAATAAAATCTATAGCGCTGTGTAATATCGACATTATTCCTGCTATGCAAATATTTTTGTGTTCATTAACTGCAAAAACAATCGAAATAATTCCGAATAATTTTGCTAAAAAATTTGCCATGCAGGTGTAAAGATTTCGATTAGCCTCGCTTATGTCCCTGCGTACTTCATGTAAAATATTTATTGCAATGCTCATTGTGTAAAGTGTATAAGTACAGACTTGACTGCGATCAAATTACGTCATAGCGTCAAATTACGTCATTAGCGACGAAAAACGTCATAAAATCAGAGATAAGCATAAAATGTTTCACATTTTCTTAACGAAATGCATGTCGTTTTTTGCGTTTGAATATTTATTGTGGGAAAGGTTTAGTAAGTCGATTCGATCGTTTATAATTAACTTTCTTCTCGTAGGAGTTAATCTTTATGTGGAAACATCTTCGTGGTAGTCAAGTTGTACCACAGTTCATTGTCAAATCTCATCTTTCCTGAAACAGGATCCATAAATATTCTCTTCAGTAGAACACACGGCCATATTCCTCCAAGAATCTTTTCAATATCACGAGGATTCAACAGAAACGTTTGACATGACCGTTAAAGTTTCTTCATCGGAAACGCTACTACCGTTTGGTAGGGCGATAAAACGATCAGCGTTTTTAATATCTTCTATTAAACTTCCACCTCTTTCCTCGCGGGTGAACACGCTACCGTTGCTTGTCAAGCTGTCGGCAACGTTCGACACCTTTTGACCAATTTTATCGGGAGATTCCGACTCTCGACCCTGAGCGCTCTCCGTCTCGCTGTTGAATCTGGAGTGACGAGTCTCGCTACTCGTGGAAATGTAGCTGTTTTCTTGTGGACTTCCTTGTTGTCGTCTCTGCTCTCGTTGTTGTTTGTATTCACATGCTGCAAGTTTCGCAGTCAAATCACGTATTTCCTCCTGTGAAAAGTGTAAGGATAATGATTTTAATATAGGAATGTCATTAATTGAACATCAAATCGGCTTATTTCATAAGTGTTAACGGATTCTTTGCTACAATTTCAATGGTTTTAATTGAGGATAATTACTCTATATTGAAGATGATAATCTCTGTAAATTGGGGATAATAATCAACTACAAGTGATAATGATCACTTTCGCGTGTTGCGTGAGTTGAGATTTTGGCAGTTGTTTAACAAAGCATATTTCACACGTTGTTTGACGTGCGCCTATAAATGGCTTAATGCATAATGTGCTGTCACAAGGAGCACACATTCAATTTTCAAGTTTTGAGAAACTGAAAGACCGTAATTGGACGTGAATACCATCACAGGGACCAAAGTTCAACTCATTTCCCCCATACCTTCCTGTCAGACCCTGGCGCATCTCACGATCGACTCGTTCTTTAGCAACTCTGCGATGATCTGACAAATCTCCCCTAACCCTCAAACCTAGGTCACCCACTTTGCAAATGGAGAGTCGTTCTTTGTATTTAAGACAATAACCATTGACATTGTTTCTTTGAACATTCTTCGAAAAATCCTCGTTTTAATCTGTACTCAAACAGTATTCCCAAAACATCTTACCCTCAGTTGTATATTCTCAGTTTCCAGACCCTCGCGGCTTTTCTCTTCATCGTTTTCGCACACCAAAGTACCGTCCTCCAAACGGTTGAGATGAAATGGTGATTTACGAAGATCCGTCATCGTTGTGGCTATAGACGAACTACCCCGAGAACGCCTTCTTTGATTTACATTGTATTTTTTCAAGAAGTATACCTTTAAAACAGACAGGAAAAATTTAATATCGAGGAGGGCAGGTGGTATAGGTCAGCAAGTACACAGACTGACTTAAGCATTAAATGTTTGTAAATGATGATCGTCCAGGTTAATAAAGTCCTGAGAAGGACTGTTTTTGTTGTTGTTGACTGACGTTTCGACAACCTTAGCGGTAGTCACCTTCAGAGTCAGTGTCAAAATGACTCTGAAGATGACTACCGCTAAGGTTGTCGAAACGTCAGTCAACAACAACAGTCCTTCTCAGATTTATTAACCTGGACGATCATCGAAACTAATACTCCCGGGTTCAAACCATTTACTTTATTAAGCATTAAATGTTATGTACTGGAATACTTGAGTATGCTTCGAAACAGAGAAATGTCCTTTGAAAAACGCGTCGTGCAGTTTTATAACATTCATACTTCCACATTAGTCAATATGTGTCGTAATGTATCCTAAAACATTTCGTAATTTAATGAAAACGACTTCGCGTGACCTAAAGCATAACAAAGAGATAAGTATCTTCGCTGCTGCATGATTCCTTTCGATGAGAGAATGTAACCCTTGGCTAATCTCTTTTGATATTTGAAACGAACGTCCAAGACATATTTGGCCATTTGTTTACGCTAATTTGTTCACCATATGGTGTTTCAACGACAATATTCAATTTAAAGTTTTGAAAAATAAAATTTAATGAAGAAAATATAAGGCATCGAGGATAATCTGACGTGTTTATCTTCGAGAGCTCTTCAAGTTGGGCTTGGCCGTTCTATTAAAAAGCTTTTGTTCTATTTTCTTTTCGGGCTCATTGCCAATCGCATCATAACACACTTCATAATCAATCGTAAAACGCTTACTCGTTCATTGATGGAAAGCCAAAACTCAACGAAGAAAAGGTCCAGTAGATAGACGTATTGACAAAAAACCCGAAGCTCTCTAGATTACAAATTTCTGCTTTTTGAGAGGTTTTAAGATCCTCTTTCATCGGCAGTAATTAATACTAAGTTAACAGTACAACCATTACCTTGAAAGCAAAGAGCAAAACCAACATAACGGTGGCAATGACATGCGTTGACAAACTGTTTACGACATACGCCACATCAGGATTGTGAAAGTTATCTAGAAAAAAATTCTAAATAAAAGAGAATGTTGTCAAAACAATTCAACCTTTAATGCTATAACCAACAACTACAAACAATAACGACCTTATCTAACAACATTTGAGAAACTAACCTTCCACTCCTCTTCCTTGTAAACGAGACAAGTCTACTCAAAGGCAGAGAGCCTTTATGCCCTTCTGCTTTTGAGTAGACTTGTCTCTTAAGAGAGAAAGTCTCAAATGTTGTTAGATAAGTCGTTAATGTTTGGTTATAACATTATATCTATCATTCTTTTTGTTTAATAACATTCCAACAATTCAACCTTTCATGAAAAATGACAGTAACACCGATGCAAACATTTTGCCTTACCTCAGAAGACCAACTACGATCTTAACAAACAGAGTGTTATATATACACCAGGCGATGTACTTGCTCTCGTTGTACGCCGAGGGCATTTCGTACACGGATACAAAGCCAAACACCCACAGCAGAAATAAAACCTCGCCTAGGAAAGAAGAAAGGGATACAAAATTTAGTCTCAGAGAGTAAGAAAATACATGGGAATTATAACAAGTTTCACCATAGATAAACTGGGGATTATCAAAGTAAATGGTTTGAACCCGAGGTATCGTTACATGTTTGTAAATGTAGATCGTCCAGGTTAGTATAGTCCTGAGAAGGACTGTTTTGTTGTTACTGACGTTTCGACAACCTTAGCGGTAGTCATCTTCAGAGTCAAAACTCTCTGAAGATGACTACACCAAATCAATCAACTCAACAAAAACAGTCCTTCTCAAACTATACCAACCTGGCGATTATCAGTTGTGGTCGTGCCTATAGTCTTAGGAGAGTAAAAACTTACAGTTGTAAAAAAAGCTTACAAGCAAAATAATAAAAGGACTTTACCGATTTCAAAGGCATTAGTGAACCACGGTTTGACGCAGCGCCTGTATTTGTAACCGGAATTTGTCTTTATCGTCTCATATTCGTGATCTTGTGTTAAAGTCCAGATAGCGAAATAAGAGCGTGAGGATCATCAGGTGAAGTAGGATCATCAATAATCTGTTATATACAAAACATAATTTATCCATAGAATCATAGCAAAGTTACGATGGACAGATGAGAGTTATTAACGCTATAAAACTTAAATTCAATATATCGTATAAAGTACCTCAAATCCCGACGATTTCTCGTATCGAAAGGATTCTAAAGTAAAGATGAAAATTAAGATGAAATTTCGAAGAACTGAAACTAGAGATTTTTCAACAAAAATGTTGAAAATACCTGTACTACCACAAGATTCTTCAATGTCTATGCTCTAAAATAATAGTCATAAAAACGACAATTTCAAAAAGCATAAAAAACTCAATATTTGTAACTTTGGCGAAAGATACAGGATGAACATGAAACCTTCTCAGAAGACGATGGAACAAGACCATAACCATTTGATGTGAACTTCTTTCAAACAACGTTTGCGTAATCCGTTAGCATACCATGAAAACTAACTTCTGGTTTAGGCGACGCTTTACTAGCAACCTCCTCAACGTCTTCAGGACAATTAACGTATACTGAACTGGTGTCACAAGGCTCAATGACGATGACCAACCACTAGCCATACCTAACATGTTACCACGAGAGATCTTTCTTGGGTAGATGAAGGTTTTAGGAACTTCAGACAAGGGTTGTGTTGAGCTGAGAACTAAAAAAGAACAAATATGGATAGATGATGAAGTGGAGAACAAGAATAGAGGTTATAGAAGACACACTACGTATGCTCATTGGTGTTTCACAAGAGTATACATTACAGGATAACTATGGATCCAAGTAGTATAAACAACTAGGTACATTTAAGCAATCCATCTTTCCCATCGTAAACACAAGTGTCAAAAAAACGTGATCAAATTACAAAATTCGTGCAATCAAATAGTCGGACATGGCATTGTATTTGTAGAAGAGCCAATAAAATAAAAAGATTCTCTTGGGGCATTTGTAAATATTAGTTTAGAAATACAGATCGACTAATTATAAAGGCAGAAGATGTAAGAGTGAATAAAAACCATTTCCCGTCAAATCAAAGGAAAGCTTGGATATGACATGCAATATGCAAGTATAAAGTTGTAGAGAAAAATAAAAAACATTTTTAAGGTTGTCACGGATATTTCGAGTGCCGTAACAAAGTGTTGACGAGTTTCACATGCATGCCAAAAATATATGATGGAAAACTTGCTCAGCGCATCTACAAGCACCAATTTCAGAGCTCGCTCTGTCACAAATTAATTGAGAGTCTGAGCATGCGTTGTCAACTCCACAATCTCTCCAAGCTGATAGTAACGACCAACTGGAGGTACTAGTACCGATTTGGAGTAATTAGCTTGCTCAGTCACACGTTTTAAGACAAATCATCTGCGCATGCGCAGTCTCATTGAGCATGCGCAGTCAACTTGACCAGCTACCCAAGTTCATAGTCATGGCAACGACAAATTGCATCTACTAGCACCAATTTTGATGTAAATAGCATGCTTAGTAAATATTTAATAGAGAAATCGTCTGCGCATGCGCTCGAGCATGCAGTCCACTCAGTAATTGTTCATAGTCATGACAACGACCAACTATATGTACTTGCACTACATTTGTCAATTAACTCACTTAGTCGCAAATTATCAAAGAAATCATCTGGGCATGCGCAGTAACGATAACAATCATCCCACAACTTTCGTACGCCTTTAAATTTTGGTATATATATATAAAGCTAAAACTTCATATAGTAGATATCAACTAGCAGTGGAAGCTGGGTGCGATATAGTATGCAGTGCCTTAGGGGCCCACACTTCGGTGGCGACCGCACTCTCCCTGCGTACCCTGAGCAAAGCCTATCGCAGGTGATCTCAGGGTCTGATGGGCGGAAGCTTGCTATTGGCATCTCCCAAGTAGGATAGCATGGAGGGGCCGAAATATCCTACCGAAACGTTAACATGCGGCGTTCTAGTGCCTTGCGCTTAAGAAGGTATCGGGAAGCATGGACCGAAGGGGGTTTTGCTTTCGATTTTATCTTTTGTTTTCTTCTCATAAAACAAACCAAGCAATGTTTCAATTAACTTCTTATGACCCTGTCTTTTTCTGACACTTATAAATAAAGACAACCTTAAACATGTTTTATACCAATTTTATCGGTTTATATCTTTCTGATTTAACTCTTCCATTTACTGTTTCTCATGTATTACGAGCAAACCATACATATGTTTCATGGAAAACAAACAAGGATTATGTGGTTCCCTTAGTTAACATGCGACGCTCTAGTGCTCAACTATCTCGGGGTATCGGGAGGCATGGATCGAAAACGGGATTCTTTGGTTTTCAAAATTTATCTTTTCTTTACAAGAATTCTTCTCATAAAAACTAGAACGTCAAGGATATTTCAAAGGTTCAAACAACTTCTGCCTTTTGAACTATAACAAAAATTCTAAGCATGTTTATACGTTTTTATTTATTACCTTTACAACGTAACACTCATAACTCTCTCGTGATGAACGAGAGCCTCATTACAATATGACTCTTTCATCATGAACGAACGCATCCATGGGCTTCACGGAAAAAGGGATTATGTACTTTGTTATAATAGTTTCTACAAAGATAACATTTATTAAGCTAAGAAATTTGAAAATAAAATATATTTGAGTTATTAGCAAATAACAAGTCGAGAATTCATTGATCATACTCATTCCAATTGGTCTGGAACAACCATGACATTTATAATTTTGACCATCCAACCCTTTATCAAGGGCTATATTGTTAATTAACGACAGTAACTTCATACGTCGTTCTTGCTGAACACCTTCAGGTGAAGTAGGATCATCAATAATCTGTTATATACAAAAACATAATTTATCCATAGAATCATAGCAAAGTTACGATGGACAGATGAGAGTTATTAACGCTATAAAACTTAAATTCAATATATCGTATAAAGTATCAAATTCCGACGATTTCTCGTATCGAAAGGATTCTAAAGTAAAGATGAAAATTAAGATGAGAAATTTCGAAGAATTGAAACTAGAGAATTTTCAACAAAAATGTTGAAAATACCTGTACTACCACAAGATTCTTCAATATCTATGCTCTAAAATAATAGTCATAAAACGACAATTTCAAAAGCATAAAAAACTCAATATTTGTAACTTTGGTGAAAGATACAGGATGAACATGAAACCTTCTCAGAAGACGATTGAACGAGACCATAACCATTTGATGTGAACTTCTTTCAAACAACGTTTGCGTAATCCGTTAGCATACCATGAAAACTAACTTCTGGTTTAGGTGACGCTTTACTAGCAACCTCCTCAACGTCTTCACGACAATTAACGTATACTGAACTGGTGTCACAAGGCTCAATGACGATGACCAACCACTAGCCATACCTAACATGTTACCACGAGAGATCTTTCTTGGGTAGATGAAGGTTTTAGGAACTTCAGACAAGGGTTGTGTTGAGCTGAGAACTAAAAAAGAACAAATATGGATAGATGATGAAGTGGAGAACAAGAATAGAGGTTATAGAAGACACCTACGTATGCTCATTGGTGTTTCACAAGAGTATACATTACAGGATAACTATGGATTCAAGTAGTCTAAACAACTAGGTACATTTAAGCAATCCATCTTTCCCATCGTAAACACACGTGTCAATAAAACGTGATCAAATTACAAAATTCGTGCAATCAAATAGTCGGACATGGTATTGTATTTGTAGAAGCCAATAAAATAAAAGATTCTCTTGGGGCATTTGTAAATATTAGTTTAGAAATACAGATCGACTAATTATAAAGGCAGAAGATGTAAGAGTGAATAAAAACCATTTCCCGTCAAATTACAATAACGCGGAGAGGAAAGGAAACACACAAAAAGATGATGCGGTAGGAATTTTTAAAGTGTTCTTTTTATTGTTTTTGGTTGCACAATTTCATATTAATTTATTTTTATTACCACAGTTATATTAACAAAGTATGTGTACAAATTTATTTATGCC